CAGACAGGAAGCAGAGGAGGACTCCTTGCTCAAAGTAAAGGGGAAAAGCTCATCAACTGCATCTTAACTGCAAGTTACAAACCCTGAGTAAGCCTGACCTCCCCACACACAGGAACACACTCCAGGAGCTCACTTCTCTAGTGGTGCTGCACTGGTTGGCTTTTCAACCAGTCTCTGCTGATAAATTAAGGGCCAGGAAGGTTACCATGGAGCTACTCCCCTCATGGAGATACCCTTCTCAGGCACAGGCCACATTTCACTTTGCAAAACCAGAGTTTTATGCTAATAAGGCTGGGACTAAACTGAGTAAATCTGGCCTTACCCCATCCACCCACAGCAGAGCTGGCCAGGATTTTGCATGACAATGGCTGAGTGCATGACTAAAGTCTGGGCAAAGCCTTGGTGGCAGCTATTTACAAGCTACTCACCTACTTGGAAACCCTCCTGCTCTGAACCCTGCTCCCCCAGCCAGCCCTGCCACTCACCTCTGACCCCCCAGGCTGGCTCTGCCCTCATCCTTCCAATATTGTGTGCAGATCCACGTGCTGTGGTGGCTGCTCAGTGTCCCACCCCTGGGACTCACTTCCCAGAGCATCACTCCACACTCACCCCTGCAGATGCACTCACCAGCCCCTGCAGCAGAGGCTGTTTGAGGGCAGAGGATGGCTGCAAGGCTCATGTGCCCTTATGAGGATTAAAATGCCACCTCAGGCTGTCTCAGAAGACTTTTCCCTGTGAAGACACCACAATTCTTGGCCTGTGAGGCCACAGGAATCATGACAGCACCAAGGATCCATCACCACACACACCAGCAGCATGAACATCAGTTTTTGAAGCTCCCAATTCTTGCAGGCCAAGTGTACAATTTTCCAAAAAATCTAGTTTGCTGTGTGGTTAAAACTTCTGTAATTTAATTATAAGTTAGTTGAAACTTCTGTAAAGCAAAAATTAAAGCTCATGTATGCTCATCTTCCTTCTGAATTCCCCTCACCTTCACCAACTGAGCTTGGAGCTTTATCCAAGCACTGGAGCTGCTTCAGCTGTGAAATTCTGTATTATCTAAGTGTGTGTGTATATATATATATATATAGATATAGATATAGTGTGTATATATATATATATATAGATATATATATAGGTATATATATGTATATATATATAGTCAATATATAGGTAATAGTCAATAGCAGCAGTCAATTTTCCCATTTAACACCACACTAACTCCCACCAAGGGTCTGCAACCCACTGAGTAAGAGTGTCTCACAGCAAAGCAGCCCTTAATGAAGATTGCTGATTGATTTAATAAAATCCTAGCAGAGAGATGGTGTCAAAGCTCTGCTGTACCCAGACAGAGACTGGTGATGGTAACACTGCATCCATCACCACCCAAACCAGAGAGAGAGGAAACCAGACCAGCACCACACCAGTGACTGGTCTGCATCCTGCAGGAGGAGATATGCTGCTGGATGGTCCCAGAGTGCATTCATTTCCTCACTGAAGTCCTGCTGATCTTCACCTGGCATCTCCCACCAATCTCCTCTGCTCAAAAGCTGGAGAGATCTGTCCTGCAGAAAGTCCCTCCCCTCCTACAGCCCACCAAAAAAAGCTGAGGAAGGAACAATGAGAGAAACCCAGGACCAGACATGTCATTTTGAACTGATTTAGCCAAAGCATGCTGCTCAAAGGGGCAATTCCACCCACTTCCACCCTCAGTAACAACTGATTTCTCCTTAATGATGGCAAAGCCCAGCTAAGGGAAAGGTATTTTGAGAATAAGCACACAACATCAAAGATTTGTACCAAGAGTTTTCCCTCCACATTACAAACAATACTATGCTTATGCATCATCTCAGAAATGCAGCACACATCTCTGGCATCCCCTCATGGACTTTGAAGTGCAGATTGAGAGAGCCCCAATTCAAGCTGCAGCATCTGTAACCTTAATTTGAGGGTTGAAAAGCCCTCAAAATACAGCAGGGACTGAAAGTAAGTCACAAAATTCAGGTACTTTCCTTTGTGAAAAGCATCAACAGGATGCATGCAGGAGATCTTAGCTCCACCTGAGCAGACCAAGTCAAGAATTGAACTCCCTTTCTGCAGCAGCATTTCTACCCAAATTCCCCTTTAACTCCTTAAAAGGAGCACACTTCATTCTGTCTAGGGGAGGATGAAAATTATTTGGGTTATTTTCCCCTGAGGTTTTTAGTTTTTAGGCTTTTTGAGTTTTTTTTTTTTTGCAGGAAAAGGGAACACATCCCTGGATCTTCCCACCTGTGCCACCTCCCAGCTCCGTGCCACAGGTAGGATGCATCAGGCAGACACACACAGGATCTTCAGCTGGTAAAGCAAAGGAAAAATTAAGAAAAGCCATGTTGTATCTCAGTAACAATGCTAGAATTATGGAATTTTACCTCACCAGCTTCATCAGAGGGTTCCCCATCCACCTGCCCCACATGAGCTGGTGGGACAGATAAGGGCAAGTGGAGCACATCCCTTTCCCTCTGCTGAGGAAAGCAGAGGAGTGGCAGTACTGACACAAGGAGGAGAAGGAACAAAGAGGGGACAAGGCTGGATTCAGCTGGAGAAGCACTGCAGGGCTCTCCTCCTGCCTGCTCACTGCTCCATGGGAGCAACAGAGGCACCATCACAAAACCGCCTCACTGGTGGCAGCTCTGCTCCCCAGCTTTTTACCACAAAATATCCCAAAAACCTCCATTATTTCTACTGCAGCTTTCCCCATCAGATAAGCAGGGTCTTCAGGCATTGGAGATCAGCTGGTGAAGTTAAAAGAAATATCCAAATAGAGACTAGGAAGAAAGCAAATTGGGAAGGTGCAGTGCCTCAACACCTGTTGGAAACGCAGCACACCTGTGGATAAACACCACCTCCACCAACAACCTGTAAAAATTCACTGGAGAGGATTTTGATCCCTCTGAAAAACTGCAGAACTGCAGAGGGTTTGTTTAACACACGTGAGGGCTTTTTAAAAGGTTTTCTTTCGAGGGAGAGAGGACTCAAAAGTAGGGAGCAGCAAGTGTGTCAGCTCTGCTCCCGGAACAGTCACGGATGTCCTGCAGGACACATCCCACACGGGATTATGGAGGAGTGCACAGCAGTGCCTGCTGAAAGGAGCCAGCTCGGGTTCCAGCAGTGCTGCTAACCCAGCCACACGACTTCCAGAACGTGACCCAGCTTGCTCAGCACTCACTGCTACACTTTGTTTTCACGGTGCCACACAGCCCTGCAGCACGGGGACAACCCCCTGGCCACAATACAGAAAGGCACATCTGGGACCAGAGCATCGTTCCAAAACTAAATGAGAGGCATCCCTAGAAAAAAGTGCTGGAAAAGCACGACCTGAAGCTTTGGGAGAGTTTTCTGCAGGGTGACATGGTGCCAGCACTCACCAAGAGGCAGATGGGACACAAACAAACCCCACTCGTCCAGATGGGGAACAAGTTGGTGAGGCATTGATCCCTGCTTTGCCAAAAAGTGGCCCAGGTGCCAAACCCCACCACAGACACAATCCGAGCATTGTTCTGCCCTGTTTCCTAACTGCACCTACCCCATGCACAGAGGGAATGATCAGAATCCTTTTATTTAACCAAACTAAAAAAGACAAGACCCCAGCAGGGTTGGAAAAAAGTAGCCTGGTCCCAAAAGCACAGCCCAGGCTGAAGTGACAGCTATTATGGGGCTCTTTTCTGCTCCAGCTCCAACAGCCATAAAAGCTTTCCAACGCTGGAGAAGTCCAGAACAGCAATCTGGACAGAAAACGATTCATAAATCCTGGAAACGTAAATGATCCGCCTGCCAATTCCAACACGATGCTCCCAGCCCCACACGTGCCAGGAGCCTGAGCAGAGGGCTCCCCCAGCAAGCCAGCCTGGGGCCAGGGGGAGAGCATCCCCTTCCCCACACTGCTCACAAAACCAGCCTGACTTTCCCCAAACTTGAGCAGATTAGTGCTGTTTTTTTGGATGAACGACTACGTTGCAGCGTCTCAGACTAATTCATGCTGAGAGCATGTGTCTTCAGCAGAAGCAGAAGGTGGGAGGGATGAAGAGAAGAGACTCTGGGGGGGAGAAAGCACGATTTCCTTTTGCAAAGAGCGTACCCATGTGAAAAACTGCTAACTTCACCTCAGCAGGGGAAAAAAAAAGACCCTAAAAAGGGGTTTTCTACTCTTGGAGATCCAGCACAGGCTGACACCAGGCTGCCAAGGCACTTCATGTGATGAAGGAAGTTTTACAGATGCTTTAAAATTAAGTGTATTAAAATAAAATGCCATTTTAATTTAAAATACTGCACTGTACAGTTGATCCTATATAGTAATGCTTACTTTTCTGAAAGTGTATTTTTTACAATAATTACAAGTCAGGAGTGGAAAATGGCCAGTACAGATACAGCTGTACTGAATTAAGTTGGGCATTTCCCACTTGTTTACTGAGCCTGCACCTTATAGCACAACTAAAAGCGGCAAGTTAAAAGAAACATGAGGCGTTATATCAGCCTTAAGCTACACTTTAACACACAGACCAGGTTTAGGTTCCTCTGGACAGCGTGGGAGACTGAAAATCAGACAGCTGGAGCTGCCTTTAATAATGAGTTTAAAACAGAGCTGACACAACTTATTTTGCCCCATTTCAGTGGTCCAAATAAATAAGTTTCTTCAGGGGTGTAACTTGTATCTGAGCACATGTGCTATTCATACAAATGACTGTTAAAATTCAGAATGGGTCTGAACCCAGGTCAGGAAGAGGCAGAAAAAACAGGATTTAGTTAAGCAGGCATAAAGCACAGTTATACTTTTAAAGCTACCTGAACTCCACCAGCCTCCTGCTATCAAAAAAACCCAACGCTAAAGTAGTTTCTAGGGATGTACAACTGCCTGAAGAATTTTTTAAAAATGGATGAAATACCGATGTAAGCATGTGCCAAGTTCAGAGCACGGCAGGACGCGCAGAGGGCTCCGGCTGGCTATTGAAATCGCAGATACATTAACGGGTGCACGGGGAGCTCTCGGGTTTCCGCGCCGGTGCCGCTCCAACAGGTCTTTCCGGAGAGCCGCGCTGCGGAGCGGGAGAGCGGCGAGAGCCACGGGGGAACCCGGCCAGCCCGGAGCGCGGGCACCGGCACCGGCACAGCGCCTTCATGGCAACTCCGCCGGCAAGTTGGGCGAGCGCCGGCACCGGGGAGCTCCGCGCCGCCCCCCCCGGCTCTCGGAACGCCCCCCGGGCGGGCGGGAGCCGCGGCGCGCGGTGCGGCCGGTACCGGGGCCGTGCAATGCGGGCGAGCGCTGCCGGGGGCGGTCCCGCCGCAGCCCGGGAGCGGCACCGGGCGGAGGGCGGGCGGAGGGGCGGGGGGAGGAGGCGGCGCCCGGCTCGCAGCGCGCCCAGCGGCCGCCGCACGCTCCGCCCGCCGCTCCCGCCATGCCGGGGCCGGGACACCCCGGCGGGGCGGGGCGGGGCGGGAGGACGCGCGGCCGCCCGCGCGGGCCGGGGCTCCCCGGGGAGCCGCGCCGCGGGCACCGACCGGCCCCCCCCACCAACCCCGCGCCGCCGCCGCACCGGCGCCGGGCCCCGCCCCCTACGGATCGCCGGAGGGGGCCGGCCCCGGGCCCGGCGGCCTCCCGTCCCCGCCGCCCCGCTCTTCCTTACCTCGAAGCGGCTCCTGGCAGCGGCCGGGTCTCCCTCAGGGTCCGGGGGTGGCGGGCACCTCCCGGGCGGGCGGCGGGGGCGGGCTGTCCCCGGCGCAGTGAGAAGGGGGGGTCCCCGCGCCCCTCCTCCCGGAGGGGGGGGGCGGGCGGGGGCGGCGCCGGTGCCCCGGCGGGGGCGGGGGGCTCGGCGGGGGGGGTAAGATGGAGTAACCGTCTGTCGGCCGCCGCGGCGGAGCGCTGCCCGCTTCTCTGTTCCCCGGGAAATCCCGCCCCTCCTCGCGCAGGGGGGGAGCCCCGAGCGCCCGTTGGCTGAGACGCGCGCCCGTCACCGTCTCGGCCAATGGGAGAGCTGGCCCCGCCCACTCGGCCCACCCCTATTGGCCGCGGCCCCCAGGAAGGGGATGTGGAGAGGAAGGGAGGGAGGAGAGGAGGGGGGGGAGCGACCGCCGAAGAAAAATGTCCGTATAAGCAGCGCGCCCCGCCCCCGTCCCGCCTCCCCCGCCGCCCTATTGGCTGCGGTACCAAAGCGCCGGCCAATTGGCGAGCGGGGCCGCGCCGCCGTCACGGTGAGAAGCCCACCCACGCGGCGAATTGGCCCCGCCCGCCACCGGCGAGACCACGCCCCCCTCTCTGGGGAGCCCTTTTGTGGAATGTTTACATCGCGGCCGCGGCCCGCGCCAGCGGCTCCCCCCGCCGTCCTCCCCCCGGTCCCGGGCCCCGGTGCCAACCGATTCGGCGGCGGGAGGGGAGAGGGGGGCTTGGCGGCGGGGCCCGGGCCCGGGGGCGGCGCGGCGCTGCCTTTTGTCCCCGACCCCTTCACTTCCGGGATGGCGGCGCCCCACGTGGGGCGGGCCGGTTACACGTGCGGGCGGGGGGCACAGGGCGCACACACACACTCGCTCCCGCACACGCCCCGCACACTCGCACACGCTCACACTCACGCACGCACGCACCGAGGAGGAGGAGGAGGGGGGGCCGTGGGCGGTGCGCGCCGCGGGGGGCGGCGCCTTCAGCCGCCGCAGCCAATGGCGTGCCAGGAAGGGGGCGTGGCCGCCGCGGCAATGGCCCCCTCCCTCCCCCCCCGCACACACACACTCAGTCACTCGCCTCCCCCCCCGCCCGTCGCGCGCTTCCCGCCGGCGGGATCCGGAGCGCGCGCGCGCTTCCCTCCCCTCTCACCCCCCCCCCCCCGCTTTTCCCTCAGGTTCCCGCCCGGCCGCCCGCCCGGCCCTTGGGAAGCGATTCCCGTGAAGGGGGGGGAAACTGGGAAAGTGCGTGTGGGGGAAGCAGCTGTTACCTACCCTCAACGCGCAGGCGAGCAGCCCTGAATGGAGGGGGAACTCCCCCCGGGGCGGATTGGCCCCGCGGTGCCGATCGTCACGGCCGCACCGCCCACGGCGGGAGGGAGGGAGGGGGGTGTCAGGGAAAGGCCTCTCTCGGCGGCGGAGGGCGGGAGGGAGCCGGGCCAGCCGGTGCCCCCGCGGCGGCAGCCGGCCTTCCCCTCCGCTAGAACACGAGCTGGACATGGGGGTTGACGCCTGCGATCACCGCGTTCTTCTCCCTTTGGAAAGTTGTGGAGTGCGCTGCTGGGCTCCCCTGACGGAGGCTGCAGCAGCCAGGCCTGGCCGCCCGTTAGTGCTCGTCTGGGCATCTAGAGCGTGCTCGGGAAAGGGTGAAATACAAACACACATGTTCCACATTTGTGTTAAGATGTATGTTTCAAGCACCTTTACTCTAACAAGGTCCAAATCTCCTAGTTATATTATTTTTAATTTCCAGCTGTTCTTCCCTTCCTCAGAGCGGGAGAGCGTTGCAGGCGCAGGCAGCGGGGTGGTGCCGGGACAAGCAGAGGAGCTCTCTCCTCTCTCTCTGTGTCTGGGAGCTGCAGCTCGATTTAACCCCTGGAAGGGCTCTCGGCACGGGGGTTTGAGCCTGCACGGGCTGCGGTGCCTCTGGAGATCGAGCCTGAGCCTTGGAAACCGGAGGCAAGGAAGCAGAAGGGCTGGGAAATGAAGCGCTCTGGAGCCAGGCTCTTTCCAAACTCCCAGGGTACAAAATTACAAGCACTAAAGTAATCGTCATTAGCGAGGCGTGCGCGCAGCCAAGAAAGCCGAACGAGACAGGTGGGCACAGCGATGGCAGTGCCGCTCTAGGATTGCCCTGCAATGCCTTTAAATCCCTGTTTCCGAACTCCAGCAGAACTTTGGATTTTGTTTTGTGTTGTTAACTTTTGCCCGTGGTGGCTGATCCCCATCTCTGGGCCACTCCAGGGAAGGGGAGATCCTCCAGGCATCAGGCTGCTTGCACTCAACAGCCCGTATTTCCCACCGCTCTCCAAACAATACAAAGTTTTTCTTTCCAGTAACTTTTGGCTGCCTGCGTAAAGTGACCATTTCCAGAGAAATCCTTGTTTCTACTGCTGAGCAGGACCTGCTGGCACAGAAGGAATGGATGGAACAAAACTTCATGTTGTGCAAGAGGACTGAAAATGCTGGCTTTGAGAAGAAACGCAGCCCTGGAAATAGTAAGGGAGGGTGAATGTTTGGGTTGTTTTCCCGTGGAAAAGGTTTACAACCTTTTCTTCCGCCTCCAGCACAGATGGGCTCTTCATCCCTCCTCAAAGGGAGCAGCATATCCGAGCTGTTCCCATTCAGAGCCAGAGTTGGTTATCTCCCTCCCTCCCTCCCTCTCCTCTGGTTATTCCTATCAGATACCCAGCACATGAGTCTTGGAAACCTTTTGGTTCTCTGTGCCCACATCCTGTGGCATTGAGCTAGAAGGCACAGCCACCTTTACCGTGTGCACAGAGCAGGCTTGTTGGGATTTCACAGACATGGGCTGGGCACATTCGTGGGGCCACGTGGGACACTTGGCGTCACCTGCAGCTTTCTGATCTGGACCCAACACTTTGCCAAAAGCCCCGCTGAGCCACAGAGAGCTGCTGCTGACAGCACAGGATTAACAATGAACTGCCAACACTCCCCTCCTGCACGTGTGCTGAGAAGAAAGCTCAGCTGGGTGAAAAAGTTTGGCAGTGAGGAGGGAGGGCCCCAGGAGCCTTCCTTCAGAGGGAATGGGTGCCTGGTGGGAAACTCTGGGGCAGCCTGAGCCAGAGGAGCAGATCACACTGCCTGGCCTGATGGTGCTCCAGGAGACAGCTGGGTGGAAAATGGTACCTGGAAGGATGGGACACTGCAGCTGAACCAGAATCACTCTCAGGCAGGATGTGCACAGCTCCAGGGGTGCTGCCAACACCCGTCTGTCATGCACTCCTATGCCCTGGGACATGCAGCCCTTCCAGACAGATTCCCTGCTGCCTCTGGTTCTGTTCCAGCCTTCCAGCGCTTGTGTCTGACCTCAGTTTGGCACAGCCACGCCAGTCCACCCCCGGAGCACAGGGGAAAGCTTCTCCCTGTGCCAGTCCTAGAAAGACACTGGCATCCCTCACTTTTGTAGGCTTCAGCTGAACAAACACAGGTGCTGCTCTTCACACCTGCCAGCTGCCCTGCTCTGGGGCACGAGCTCTCTGGCTGGCTCTAGGGCTTCATTTGCACAAGCTGCCTTTTTTATTCCCTCATCCCTAAGCCTCAGGCTGCTGCTGCTGCTCCGGGACTGGCATTGCTTGCACCTGAAGGCGCTGGTGCTGCCTGACAGCCCAGGAGTTCCCCCTAATTTTTCTGCCCTACATGCCATCTCAGAGGGGATCTAGAAGCTCAGAGGCGATGCCTGCACCCCCAAATCCTGCAGCAAAAGGCACCAGCAGGCAGATCCCATGGCCAGACAGGAGCCTGATATCCTGAGGCTTGTCAAGGCCCTGGGAAAAGAGGCAGGAGCTTGGAGCAGGGTGGCTTGTGTCCCCCCTGGCTACGCCAGCTCATTGTGCTGCCTTCCCTCCTGACACTATCCTGCCTGCCCAGGAAAGCTTCCTGCAGCCTGGTTATCTCTGCCTCAGCCTCACCCAGGCCAGAAGAAGCCCAAAACACAGCCCTGTGCTCCTCAAAGTCCACGTGTAGCCAGGGATGGGGCCAGCTGGTTTTCAGAGATCACAGCCCATGCAAAGCCCTGAATTCCCTCCTTCTGTCCTGCCCAATGCCCCCACGACAGCAAAGAGGACAGGTCACTGGTGGTATATTTATATATCGATACAAATAAAAACAAAACAACTCCCAAAAAAGTAACAACAACAAAAAGGTTTCTCTGAGAGCAAAATAGGAACATTTACAAATACTTCTGGCTCTGGCTTGGATCAAGTTAATGTTAAATACAAAAAAAAAAAAAAAAAACCAAACACAAAAAAAACCCCAAAAGAAAACAAAACAAAACCTCCCAAACCCTGCGCCCCCCTCCCCCAAGATTATAAAAAAATAAGAATATACACATTCAAAGAGCTTATTACAGTATAAAGTTGGGGAGGCCCAGGCAGTGGCGGGGCTGGGGCAGAGGCTCGGTGCCTCTCCAGGGTTTGGGGTTTACTCTTGCTCAGCACTTTCCCAGCCCATGACTCAAGGCAGGGCTGGGCCTGCGGGTTCCCAAGGGCAGCTTGGGAAAGCCGGGCAACCTGGAGAGCCGGTCGGTCCCCAGGGCCCCGTCACCCTGTCACCTCGTACCTAGTGACTCCCTCAGCGGCACCCAAGGGCAGGGGATGCCTGCCAGCTCAGCACCCTCCAGACAGACAACCCAGTCCTCCAGATCCTCCCAGGAGCACTGCTGCTATCTCTCTCCGTGGGGAGGATGAGACAAAGAAACAGGGGGGACACCATCGGGTATCCTTGTGCCTCCAGCGGGATGGGCACAGGAGGGGGTACTGGGTCCCAACGCTGCCCATGAGGGGAAATAAGGGCAAGGGGGAAGACAAGACAGAGCCAGGACCAAACTCACCGCTCCAGAGATCACAGCAGTGAGGTGGCAGGACAGCGGGGACCCCTGGGAGCTGCTACCGGGGAGGTTGTATATATGTATCTATATAATAGCCGGGGGCGGGGTCACAGCAGGGGTATATTATATACACACATACATACAGACACACACATGGAGCGTCAGGTGAGGCCGAAGCACACGCCTCTTCCTCAGCCCCAGGACTGGGAATACATTTCCTAGGACTTTGCAAAGCCCCTCTCTTGGTACGCCTTAGGTGGTCCCAACAACAACATAAAAAAACCGAAAACAAAATTAAAAAACCCAACAACTCGAAGAGAAGACAAACCACCTCCCCAACCATCCAAACCCAACCGAAACACGACGGGGAGGAGTCAGAGCCCCTTCCCGTGCCGGCAAAGTGGCAGCCACCGTTTGGGTTGAATAAGGCACAGTTCCATAGCAGTGCTGACAGCCGAGGCGCTCCGGCCCTGCTGAGTCCCGGCGGGGCAGCCCCCGGGGATGGGCAGCGGCGTCCGAGAGAGGCGGAGGCTCTCAGTGCCCCGGCGAGCTCCTGTCCTGGGCGGCCCGGCTGTGGTTGGAGAGCAGCAGCCCCTCGCGCTGGGCGTGCTCCAGGATGGCCGTGTAGCAGAAGTAATACTGCTCGGGGGTCTGGATGCTGAAGGCGCGCTGGCTCCGCATGCGCAGCACCGTCTGGTAGATGTTCAGCGTGCCCACGTCCTGCAGCTGTGACAGGCAGATGTCCAGCGCGCAGAAGGTACCTAGGGACGGTGATGGGATGGCATCAGACGCCGAATGGCACCATCACCACCCCTTGTGAGAACTGGAGTGCTGGTGCTCAGCCCTCCACTGATCTCCTCAGGGCATCTGGGGACTTCTCCCAGGTCTGATGGTTGTGGGAAGTCCTGAGGACATGTTTCAGGGTTGTTATAGTGTGTTTTTATACTTTGAAATACTTTGAAGTAGTTTTGTTTTGTACCCCCATATTTTTCCCAAATGGTTTATCCCAGACTGTACCCTCCTCCCTTTACCTGTGTTATCCCACTCCCTGGATGAGATCATCCCCAAATCCCCACCCTGACTCTCTGTCAATCACTCAGCATCCCATCCCTCCATCTAGAAGCTTCAGTCCAGGTCACCGAGTGATTAGCCAGAGGCCAGGGTTCAGCCCCCCAAGCTGTCCTGTCTATCCCCCAGTACCCAACCCTTAGTGTCACTTATTGGTTAGTAAAATGTTATCTACTTTGGGTTTCCACCTCCCTTTAAATGTAACCTTGGCACCTCTCCCGGGGCTCTCAGCAGGAGGCGCAGGAGCTCCCCAGAGCCCCTGAATAAAACCTTGGAGTAACCCCTGCTAAGAGACGGCCCTTCATCTTCTACCGATGTCTCTGGTGTCTCTCCTGCTGCAAAGGTGACCAGCCCAGGTGCCCTCAGCACCCTCGGGGCACAAGATACTATCTCCCCGGTGTCTGCCCACTCGGGACTGGCTGAGGGTCCCTGAGAGGCTCCCAGAGAGACAGAGACAGTGGGTCCCCAGGATGGAAACGCCCCAGAGAAGCTGCACTTGTCACCCCACCATCCCCAATCCTCCCCCACACCCATTACCTGTCCTGCCAATGCCAGCGCTGCAGTGCACCACGACTGGGGGTCC